ATTTACGGGGTTTGCTTGCTATTGATTTAAGCACACATGTTAATCTCATCTGCAGACCGGGGAATAAGAACGCTTCAGAGACAAAGTCTTGTTTTCTCAGTAATCAGAGGTGATGACGATCTATATTTACCTCAGGCTTGTATAGTAAATTTTCCTTTATATGTGGAGTCTACAGGGAAGCCGATATTGCTCATGGAAGACGGTCCGCTTTGTAATATTCAGCAGCGCTCAGTCTGTGCGGAGACATAAAGCATCACGCAGAAATTCTCATTAAAATCCTATTCTGCCCAAATACTCACCGGAGATTTCCCATCCCACAAACTAATACATAAAAAACGCAATAAGCGCTTCCCCCTCAGCCACCAGCTGAAATGCAGCACGCTACCAACTGCATGGGCAGAGATTTTATTAGGTCCTGTAATTTTGTTTGACAGCCTCCAGTCAAAGCATATATATGCATCCAGGTAGAAGAAGAGGACTTCTGTCATCTTCCCAGTATTCCTGTCATGTACACAATGTTTTACAGTAACTGCTCTCTTTGTAAAGGTTTTTTTAATATGTATTTGTAAAATCTCTTCAAATATTAGAATTTAATAACATCTTGTAATGTTTTGTAAACTGTATGAGTAATGGTGTCAGCCATTTTTCTATTAGATATGAATGTTCTGCTTCCTAATCACTAGTGCTGTTAAGTGACTGTGCTTTACTGTTCTCTTTCTGTCAGTGAAAGTCTATAGACACAGCGTTGTCATGAACCTGTAGATGATTCCTACTTTTTGGTGTCTTACCTTGTAACTCATAGTCATATCCATATGAGAAGGCATACAGGTAAAACACAGAAGTGACATTAGTGATTTCTTTTAGGTGCATGAGGTTAGAGCTGTTTAAATCTCATCGCTGGGGAATTGTATAATCCGCTCTCTCAGTCTTACCCCCCTGGGTTCCACCCATCTTTTTTTTTTTTATTAGCGGTTTTAAAGTCCCCCACCTCAATGTTTCACCTAGAGCTGCAACAGTTAATCGATTTAGTCGATTAAAATCGACGATTGAAAACGTTGGCAACGTTTTCGATCGTCGATTCGTCGGCTATCGATTGATTTGCCTGTTCGGGGCTGTTCCGGGCTCCACATGCGGCCTGAGCCACACGTCACACGCTGCTCCCGCTGCGGCCGCCGTGCCCACGGCACAGGCCGCGTAAGCCACGCCCACCGCACAGGACGCTGAAGCCGCGCACGCCGCTGCTCTACTTCCTGACGCGATCTCCCTCACTCGTCGCTGGCCCGCCGACAATCGAGGGCCCACCTTCTGAAGCCAGTGGTGGACGGAGCTGCAGTGTGGAACAGGTGTGCGGGGATATAGTGGTGGAATAGGTGTCAGTGTGGAACAGCTGTGTGGAGAGGCAGTGGTGGAATAGGTGTATGGGGGTGCAGTGTGGACCAGGTGTCAGTGTGGAACAGCTGTGTGGAGAGGCAGTGGTGGACCAGGTGTATGGGGGTGCAGTGTGGACCAGGTGTATGGGGGTGCAGTGGTGGAATAGGGGTGCAGGGATGCAGTGGTGGAACAGGGGTGCAGGGATGCAGTGGTGGAACAGGTGTGCGGGGGTGCGGTGGTGGAAAAGGGGTATGGAGGTGCAGTGTGGAACAGGTGTATGAGTGTGATGTGGTGGAATAGGTGTTTGGGGGTGCTGTGTTGGAACAGGTGTACAAGGGTGCTGTGTGAAACAGGTGTATGGGTGCAGTAGTGGAATAGGTGTGGGGGTGCTGTGGTGGAACAGGTGTACAAGGGTGCTGTGTGAAACAGGTGTTTGGGGGTGCAGTAGTGGAATAGGTGTGGGGGTGCTGTGTGGAACAGGTGTATGGGTGTGAAGCGGTGGAACAGGTGTATGAAGGTGCAGCGAGGAATAGGTGTATTGGCGTGCAATGGTGGAATAGTTGTGTGGGGGTGCCGTTGTAGAACAGGGGTGCTATGGTGGAACAGGTACGAGTTACGCTACGCACGCCGCGGACGCCACGACCACGCCACGTATGCCACGCCCACCACACAAGCCGGACACACGCCCGCAGAGCACGCCGCCGCGACTTACAAGGGTTCAGAAACAGGTAAGGGGGACCTGTTTTAATGTTTCCTGTTTTAAAAAAAAAAAAGCGGCACACTGTAGAATACCACCAGCTATAGAGGAACAACAAATCCCAGCAATAATATATTAAACACCCGGTATAATGTATTATTGCTGGGACTTGTTGTTCCTCTATAGCTGGTGGTATTCTCCATTGCGCTGTATAATGTATTTTTGCTGGGATTTGTTCCTCTATAACTGGTCAGTGGTAATCTGCATTGCGCAGTATAAATCATTATACAGCGCAATGGAGAATACCACCAGCTATAGAGGACTACAAATCCCAGCAATAATACATTATATACAGCGCAATGCAGAATAACGCCAGCTACAGAGGACTACAAATCCCAGCAATAGTACATTATAGTATAATGTACTATTGCTACATTCCTCTATAGCTGCTGGTATTCTGCACTGCGCCGCTGTATAATGTACTATATTGCACACCACACTTTTTTTTTACTTCCACCGCGCCAAGCATGCTCCCATGATGGACTACAATCTTAACACAAACTAGTCGTCAATCACTGGAGCCTTTTTTTTTTATCCGATTAACCGATTAATCGAACTTAATAATCGGCCAACTAATCGATTATGAAAATAATCGTTAGCTGCAGCCCTAGTTTCACCTTTCCATGGACCTCCAATGTAAAGCTGGCCATACACTGTTTTATGTGCTTTTCGTTCAACCTGCAAGCTGAACAAAATAATAGAACAGATTCCCCCATGCACACTAAACAGCGTGGATGGACCAATCTCCTGTTCGGTTTTTGTATTCTGACAGTAGCGGTGTGCCACTGTCAGAATATCTGAACAGTGACAACCGATTGGCTCCCATCACAGTTTGTCTGAAAATGTTTTAACTCCTTTAATTTTCTGATTAAAAGATGCCAGACAGAAGGGTGCAGACAGGACCACCGACTGAAAGAATTTTGTCCGACTCATTAAGAACTAGCCAAAATCTGTACAGTGTATTGGTAGCATAAGTGTTTGTGTCCTCAAAGAGCACACGCAATGCCACTAAAGAGCAGGAGCTAGTAGCAGAGATGGACACAATGGGTATTGATGCCAAAGCCCCTGAGCTTCTATCCTCTACCCACTGCTCCAGACATAATCAGTACTTATAACCCCTCCTCCACACCTAACCTGCTCCCTCCCAAATCCTATAACCCCTCCTCCATGGGTATAGCATATATTTGGCAATTCATCATTTATATCTAGTATCTGGTGGCTTGATAATGATCGTTCAGCCTGTTGCCTTGAATACCACATTATACATGTGTCTCCTGTGATCAGCACTCCATGAGAACATCTCTTATTAAGTATCTCATTAAAGTACCATTATTTATAGTTGTATTATCCTCACAGGAAGGGAGCCTTCTGCTGTCTCCCTATTTCCTTTTAAAGTGATTTAGGATAACTTTTGTACTCTGTTTGACTGGGTGGCATCTAGAAGAAATGGAATGCTCAGGCAAGGTGTGATGCGTGTGATATTTTCTAAAATACACACTAATTACTTCTTGCAGAGCTCTTCTTATTGGGATGTGTGAGTTGATGACCACTTGTGGCCATCACCCTCCATCCATCAATGAAGGCACAGAAACTAAGTCACCTCACATCTCTTGTACGTTGCAGTGTCAGTAGTGTTTGAGCCGTAATTGTAGCTGTTGTACTGAATATTAATAATCCGCTCTGTGTTTGCTTATCACCCACCCAGTAACCCCCCCCCCGCTGCATTCCTATATCCACCTGCCAAAGCCAAGGGAGCTTCCAATGCTGGACAAATTTCAAACACAGTGATGTTTCTAAACAATTGTTTTATTTCTTGTAATAATATAAACATGAATTAGAAGGTCATATATAAGGTCTATACTCCTTTCCTTAATAAACTATTTAAAACTTTGCAATAAACGAAGATATCTTTTGGGTAGTGAACACCTAAGCAGTATTCTAGGATGGTCTCTGGGGTAATAAACACCTGAGCAGTATTCTGGGATGGTCTGTGGGGTAATAAACACCTGAGCAGTATTCTGGGATGGTCTCTGGGGCAATAAACACCTGAGCAGTATTCTGGGATGGTCTGTGGGGTAATAAACACCTGAGCAGTATACTGGGATGGTCTGTGGGGCAATAAAGAGCTGAGCAGTATACTGGGATGGTCTGTGGGGTAATAAACACCTGAGCAATATACTGGGATTGCCTGTGGGGTAATGAACACCTGAGCAGTATACTGGGATGGTCTGTGGGGTAATGAACACCTGAGCAGTATACTGGGATGGTCTGTGGGGTAATGAACACCTGAGCAGTATACTGGGATGGTCTGTGGGGTAATGAACACCTGAGCAGTATTCTGGGATTGTCTGGTTGCAAAGAAGGGTGGGATGGTGGAATAAGGGTCTGAGTGGTAGGCTGAGATGCCCTATGATTTATGAAGGCCTAGAAATAGACTAGATTGCTTGTTGGGTAGTATGGAACTGAGCAGTATCCTAGGTTGCATGGTGTGGAGTGAAGAGATGAGTGTTATGCCCTGAGAAACTGATGCTGACTTGAATTGTAGCTAATGCTTAACTGGAGGTAGAGTTGCTTGTTCAGGGGAAAGTCCATTATAGCAGTGGTGGTTCAGTGTCTGAGCACAGTGACATCTGCAATGTGTCGGTGCCTCCAGGATCTGTAAATTATGATGAATGACAGTGGAGTGCGCAGTTAATGAGCACATTTCTATGATATATGGCACTTATTAGCCATCGGCTGTACATTTTACAGTATAATGATCCGGCTTTAGTCCCCAATCCATTATCCCTTCTGTAACTTGAAAGAGTCCAGGATCTCAGCCCGGAGCCCCAGCAGCATTTTCTTCATATGATTATCTGTTTTCTTTCCTTAGGATTTCCTCACTGACTTAATGATGTCTGAAGTGGATCGATGTGGAGATAATGAACACCTGATATTTCGGGAAAACACACTCGCCACCAAGGCTATCGAGGAGTACTTGAAGCTAGTTGGACAGAAATATTTACAGGATGCTCTAGGTAAGATTGTAACTTATCCATTTTTAGGAACAGTACATAACAAAACCAGGGTGATGGAAGCAATTTTACAGTTGTTTTCCTTCATACAATGTCATATTTTGTCTTCATCATAGTTTGGATGTAGAGGGTGCTGTTCTATGGCAGTCAAACTGCTGTGTCATTAGTTTTGCCAGTTATTGCTGCTTTAATAGCAAAAGCGCAAAATATGTATGTACACATATGTATCTGGTTAAATATAAATGGCTGCAAATTTCAAAGGGACGGTTCCTGTTTAAAATATTTTTGTCCTTGGAAAGGTCCTTGCCAACACTTCCCATTTGCTCAGTTCTTCTCAACAAAGTGTTTTCTCAGTTCATCGTTAATAAATAGCAACATTCAGAATACAGAAAAGAAATGTTGATATCCTAAATGTTGTCGTTGGGTATATAATGCCTTATGTACAGTTTTTAAACCTCACGGCACTCCCAATGAATTAACATTATGGCACTGCACCATTCACCGCCATTGCTATGGAAAGCGGCACTGATACAGGTTCCGGAAAATAATTACATCAGGTTTTCCTCTAAATAATGGACTTCAGTGATTTGTCACATGAAGGAAGGAAAGAACGTGGACTCCTTGGTTTGTGTTGCACGAGTACAAATTGTGAAAAGAATGCAGAAACCTCCCAACTTTCTGAGGTTGAAACAAGTGATACCTTTCAGTTCCAGAATTGGTAATGAAGATATGATCCCCTGCTTCATTCCCCTGGACACATTTCCGTCTGTCAGATAAAAGAAAACAGACAGACCATCAATCCTTAATGTGAATAGACATTATCAAGTAATTACAGACACCGACAGATCTCTTCCACACACTGGTGATCAATAGATAGCAGCTGCACTGTAGTGGCTGACTCCCACCCTGTTTCTAATTTGAAATATATACCGGTATGTTTTTTTCCCAACATTAGTCATATTATGCTTGGATCAACGATCAAATGTTCTGACATGATCTAAATATCTTGGGTTCAACAACAGAATTTCCTACCTTTTTATTCTGCATATGAGAATCAGCCACACAGTCATTTGCAAGGCAGCTCTGACCTGCGTGGTCAGCAGTCATGGAATAATGCTCTCATTTTCCGTTGCTCCCAGGCTGGTGTTCATGTCTTGCTGACTGATGTATATTCACTTGTTAATATTTCCTAAATATGTCTCTCAACTTCATGTTCTTCTTCCAAGGTGAGTTCATCAAGGCTCTGTACGAATCAGATGAGAATTGCGAAGTTGACCCTAACAAATGTTCTGCCTCTGACCTTCCCGAACATCAGGGCAACTTGAAGATGTGCTGCGAACTGGCCTTCTGCAAGATCATCAACTCCTACTGGTCAGTGTTGCCAGTTGGTAATAAGGGATTTTTATACTAGAGTGCTACCACCTGGGGTTGTGGGTCGTTTATACTTAGTTATACCATCCGGGAAGGGGGGGAATATATATATGGGACATATATACCATGCAGTGGCACCAGGCATGGATGATGGATATTTCTACTATAAATGCAACCAGCAGGTACTGGGGGACATTTATACGATAAGTTCCGCCAACTGGGACTTGAGGACATTTACACCATGAGTGACACCAGCCAGGAAGAGGGTATGTTTATACTGAACACTGGCAGCGTTGGGAGTTTACAAGAAATTAGTGTATTTCTACTAGGGATGCACCGAAATTTCGGCTGCCGAAACATATCGGCCGAAAATGACACTTGGCAAAATTCCGAAAGTGCCATCTTTTCGGCCGAAATTGAGGTGCATCCCTGTTTTTTCTCCTCCCTGCTGGGCGCTGCCCTGTGTCCCCCCTGTCACAGAGCAGCATCCAGGGCAGAGGAGAGAACACCCTGTGACAGCGGGTCAGGATGAAGAGCAGGTACAAGCACTCAGTGATCGCTGAGTGTTTGTAAATAATTGAGGACAGAGTATGTTTACTGTGGGATGTGAGCTACATCACTTCCTGTTCATTCATAATTGTGGACATGGTAAACATACTATCTCCACAATTCCATATAAATAAATAAATACAATATTTGAAAACATTTCCAAAGGTTAGAAAAAAAACCAAAATATCGTTTTTTTAGCCTGACCATTTTATTTTTGGTTTCGTTTTTGAAAATTACATTTTGGTGCACCTCTAATTTCTACCAATCTGCCTTCCATTACCAGTACCTGTCCGTCACCTGACCGATTTACACTTAAATCTTTTTTTACACAACTTCTGCTGCACATTGAGAACAGGAAATCTGAAATTGTAAATTATTTGATAGCAGATAGTGTAACACTATTGTTGGTTGAGAGAGGGTTAATAGCAGCTAATTATGATATTTCCATCATTCAGGGAATGTAAAATGAGATAAATGAAACTAAATGCTCCAGTGTGCCTGGAAAATGATGGTACCTCACATTTTGAGGGATGTCAAGCGTTACAAATAATCTCAGTGCGTTAATTGCTGTTGAATGGTGCTGGTTTATAATGAATTTGGCATTCTGGTTCCACCTCAGGAGTTTGATCGACAATGATTTCAGTTCTATAAAATGACAGAAAACTGCAACCCATCCACAAAAATGAGCCAAAAAAATTTAGTGGAAAAAATGGGCCATAAACATTATGGCGGCATATTCTGCTCTGGGAATTGTGCTTCTCCATCGGCAGAAATGTGCTCCCATGTTTTGTTTCTCAGGCCACTTGGCGATCATATATTTCAGAGTGAATTGAATGGTGGTGATTATAGGACGATTTAGACATCTGGAATGTTCCGGAACATGTAGCCTGCGCTGCGCTCTGGAGGCCATTAGCAGGGGAACGACGTAAAAAGTGATGGTGTGACTTATCCGTCCTGCTACATCATAATCTGATTCTTTACCTGCCTAGAGCGCACAAGTGAAATGAAGCCACAAACTACCTAAATATTGACATTTATGAATATCAGGAAAATAATCTCAGGTGAGAATGTCCCCATATTGCGCCATTTTATCTTGAGAGGACAAAGAGAAGACATATATTGTTCAGAGTATTTCACCTTCCCAAGCTGTGCGGGATTTTTAGAAGTGATAGCTTTGAAGTCTTCACTGCACAGAAGATGTTGACGTGTCATCCACTATGATCATTAGTCATCAGATTAAGACATATTTAAAATGCAGAAATTCTGGGCACTGTGTTAAACATTTTGCTAATTATTTACCTGGTAGAAGAGAAAAATGCCATAACATGCACTTCACTCACAAAATGCAGACATTTCTGTTGTCAGCATTCTAAATATCCATTTTACTGATTTTTGGCTGCTAAGTTTCCATAAGCGACATTCTACACTTGCAGAAAAAATTGTGTTACATGGAACTGTTCTCAAATCTGATCTAACATACTTCGATAACGACAGAACTGGGGACCTGATACGTGGGGTGTAAAACAGTAAGCAGCAAGTATATGGTCATACCTACCACTTTCCAAAAGAAATAATGCTACAGTGCCCAGAGTGGCAGATCTGGCAAATGTTTGTGTGATAGATAGATAGATAGATAGATAGATAGATAGATAGATAGGAGACTTCTTCCTCTACCCCACACTAAAAACATAAAACGTAGGAGCTGATTGGTTCTTGCAGGTAGCACAGATACTTCATAATGGAGCCTACTCAGGGCCGCCATCAGGGGGGTACGGCCGATACTCATGTAAGGGGCCTGGGGAGCCCGCCCCCTAGGACTCTTACATGGGTATCGGCCGGTGACAGCCAAGGTGGCGGCCGGGCCCCCGCAGCGCTGGAGTAGACCCCAAGCAGGGCTGAGCCCCAGCATTGCAGTTCAAGCGGCTTCGGAGGAGCCCCATCAGCGCCGCCGCTGTTCTGATCTCGGACCGGCCGAAAGTGACATCACACCACTTCCAGCCAGTCCGGCGGCAGAAGAGGCCAGGTGTACAGGCACCAGCAGCAGGAGCAGGTAAGAGGAGCTGGAAGGGAGGAAGATGCAGCCCTGACCAGCCCACCTGAGACTCCTGCAGAGCCCACCATAGAGAATCTCAGATGGGCTGTGCAACATCTATGGTGGGCTGTGTGAGGTCTCAGGTGGGTTCTGTGTCCGGTGCGTCACCAAGCCCAGAGTCCGGCGCGTCACCAAGCCCAGAGTCCGGCGCATCACCAAGCCCTGCGTCCAATTCATATACTGTTCTGCATTGCTGTATAAATATATTCCTGGGATTTGTAGTCCCCCCTGCAGCTGGTGCCATTCTGCATTAGAGTGTAAGCTCCTCTGTACAGAGACTGATATGACTGTCTCAGTGTTCTCTGTACAGCACTGCGGTATATGTCAGAGCCATATAAATGTATAATAATGTATGACTGAGGGGGGACATTAGAGTGTAAGCACCTCTGTATAGAGACTGATGTGACTGGCTCAGTGCTCTCTGTACAGCACTGCGGTATATATCAGAGCTATATAAATGTATAATAATAACTAGGGATGCACCAATACCGAGTACTTTAGCCTCAGACATCAGGAAGCCAGGCAGCGAGTCATTACACACTGTCCGGCTTCCTGATTGGCCGGGAAGCTGGCTCCATGCTCCCTCGGCAACTCATGACGAGAGAGCATGGAGCCGGCTACCCAGCCAATCAAAAAGCCGAACGCAGCGTCATTACACGGTGCTCGGTTTCCTGATTGGCCAGAAAGCCTGCTAATCAAGAAGCCGGGTGGTGAGTCATTACACGCCGCCCCGCTTCCTTATCGACGAGTACCAAAAAAAAATATCGGTACTCAATACCGAAAAAACGGTATCGGTGCATCCCTAATAATAGCAGGGGGGGGGGGCATTAGAGTGTAAGCTCCTCTGTCAGAGATGGATTTGACTGGCTCAGTGGGTGGGGGTTCAGACTAACGCTGTGTAAGGGGCCCCAACATTCCTGATGGGTGCCCTGAGCCTAGTACTCATTCTTATTTTAAACCCTTATAATGTTGATCACTCACGTTGGTGCTGTATAGCAGTGCTCCCCAACCTTTTTATCGCCGCGGACCGGTCAACGTTTGATAATTTTACCGTGGCCCGCTGAGGGGGGGACGTTGATTGTTTATATTTTAGATTGTTTTGATTTAATAATTTTAATTTAATTGTATTTAAAAATGCCTTCAAAATAAAATACAGTTACACCAAAAAATGAAAGCGTTGGAATTCTTCACCTATTCCACCACCAAAAAACTGGGCGAGATTACGTTAAAATGTGTGACCACGTCACTGGTCACACATTCTAACGTAGTCTCAAACTTTGATAGATCACATGCCTACCTGTAATCATTTAATCAGAGAAATAGATTATAATAGGGAACATTACAGTGTAATATTCCCCATTAAAATCCACGTCTAATGACATGATGCAAGACACCCCTTCCCCCGCTCAGACTCACCCTTCCAGGAGCAGCAGCCATGTGTCGATGTGTGCACTCACTGCAGGGGGCGGGGCGTGTGACACACACACGTCTACTGTGACTCACCTCCCCTCCTGCCGCCTGTTACTATAGACGCGGCCGGGAGGGGAGGTGAGTCACAGGATCCGCCCCCTCACTGTGAAGCCCGTCGGCAGTGCGGGGCCCCGGTGTTCGAACACCGGGACCATGCACTGCCATATATTGCATGACCGGACCGCACTGAGACTGTGCGGCCCGGTATCATTTGGTCCGCGGACCGGGGGTTGGGGAACACTGCTGTATAGCATGTTCTAAAGTAAGCGCAGCAATGGTCATCAGTTACAACCTGACTGCCACACTATTTATAACGATCCTCGAAACACTTGTTGCCATAGAAAGAAGGAGCTGCAGTAAAATATGGCATGTTGTGGCCTTTGCTGAATCCATAACTCTGTATAAATGGCTTCTACTGTGGAAAAGTGACTGATCTTAAAACCGCTTTATGTGACAGTAAGATGCTAATTATTTACTTTTTAGAGAGTATAGGTCTGTAGCAATCCATAACAAGCAACCAAACATTTTCAGCAAGTGTTAGGAAAGTTGGACATTTGGTCACCACGCTTTACTTTTTGGTACCTTTGGTCACCACGCTTTACTACTGCTTTGTCTTATATCAGGAATAAGTCCTCTTCACACATGAATGATCTGTCGCATGTTTCCCCAAAGCAGGACAACAATCAACAACCCATTTCCCATGTTAATCAGTGGGGGCCTGTTGCCCCTGATGCCATATCTGAGCATTGCCGTCGGGCTAGCTCTTGGCGTGTGAAAAATTTCACGAGCTTTTCTTTCAGGCAAAATTACACATTTTTTGCCCTATAGAATTTAATGGGAGCACCTGAAAATGTGTGATGCAAGCATTTCCGCGCGTTTTTGCGCTTCA